TTTTTCCTCTTACATTTTACACATTTAGTCGATTAGTCGTTGTGTTAGTTAGCGGGCAGCCATCTATCATTGCATAGAAACAATGCCTAATTGAATATGGTACAATGGTTGTGGTCCTTGCTTATTTATTGCTGATTTGTTTCCCTCTGGGTGGCAGTATAACTTGTCATTTCAATTTTTGTGTATCCTCATGTGTTGATGACGAGGTTGGAGGGATTCGGCTCGGTGCCCATCAGTTTGTAATGTTGCACGTACTACGGTGGCCTATGTCACTTTTGTTAATGGCAATGACGGGCTGTCATCTACCGTTGCCTAGAAACAACACATCTTTGAGTTTTGTGCAGTGGTTGTGGTCCTTGCTTAAGTGTTGTTGAATTTTTTGTGGTTGTAGTCCCTTGCTTATTTATGATTGCACATTCTTTCTATGGATGGAGGTATATCTTGTCATTCCTATTTTTGTGTATCCACATATCGACGCCTCCGAACCATAGTATGCTAAGTCTGAAAAGTGAGTTTTTCAGTAGAAGCTCTCAAAGTATGGAAGTTTCTTATATCTTACGTGCAATGCTAAGTACATTTTTGCTTATAACTTTGGTTTGGATTGGCCGATGATTACCAAAATTTCAGAGAATTTAAATTAAGGACCGTAGTATCTAATAACGTAAAGAACTTTAAAACATGCTACTATGGTTCGGAGGCGTCGATATGTTGATGCAGAGGTTGGGTATTACAATGGAGGGATTTGACCTCGGTACCCATCGCTTAGTAGTGGTGTACGTTTGGATATGAAACTAACTTTGGCCAAAGGCACTTTTGCTAATGACAATAACGGGCTGTCATGTATCGTTGCCTGGAAACAACGGCTCCTTGAATTTTGTGCAGTGATTGTGGTCCTTACATTTTTCCTCTGTGTAGCGGTATATCTGGTCATTCCCATTTTTTCTATCCTGTGACCCCTGTCTCTTCTTCAAAATCAGTTGATTATTAATAACAACAGAATTTCTTGTGGCGCACCGCCGGAACTGTTTCTAATGGATTTTTAAAATATATTGCACAAAAGTGCAACAATAAATAAGCAAGGGGTCAAAACCACTGCACAAAATTCTAGTAGGCATTGTTTCTAGACAACGATAGATGGCATCACTTAGGACAGGCTGCAGCAGACACTACACGTGAGGTTGCACAGAAATAGAAATGAGAATATGTACCGCCAACCAGAGGAAAAAATACAACAACACATAAGCAAGACCCACAACCATTGCACAAAATTCAAAGATGTGTTGTTTCTAGGCAACGGTAGATGGCAGCCCGGCATTATCATTAGCAAAAGTGTCATTGGTCACAGTTAGTTTCATCTCCGAACGTGCAAGATTACAAACTGATGGGTACCGGAGTCGAATCCCTCCAACCTCGGCATCATCACATAATGAAAAAATCTACAATAAATAAGCAAGGGGCAACAGCATTGGTACCCAATTCAATGAAGCGTTGTTTCTATGCAACGATAGATGGCAGCCCGTTTACTAGCACAACGACTAATCGAGTATAATGTCGATGCTTTGTGCTCCGAAGAGAAGTAACAGGAAAAAATTGTCCACCTCATTATGAAATGCATAGAAAGTTTGTCACGGGCGAAGTAACGATGTGTTTTACCTTTTTCCTTATTCAATTCAAGCATTATGGAAATTGCGTAAGCAAAACTCACTCGTAGCTGATATCTAATCAAAGTCTTATATTCAGCTTAAAGGTCACCACACAATGATCTCGTTTCGTGTGTTTTCCTTTCGTTTCAACGGGGGATACTATCGGAGGAAATGAACGATCATCTATAATCCCAAGATCGACATTGTCGTCTCTTAATAAAACATTCCTAGGTCTTAGGTTACACTGGATTGACAGGCGTCTTGCAGTTAGGGTACCGACTGTATTCGAACGGAGCCTTGTTAATAACTGGGCGCCAATAATAATTATACCATGGTATCCCGAATCAATCACGTCTGCACATTGCTTCGAAACCGAAGGCTTTGATACAGGCACATCTTCCTGTAAAGATGAAGAAGGAAACCCAGTAACAGATACAGACAGCGTGTTGAGAATCTGGATGGAGCATTTTGAAAAGCTTCTGGTATCAAATAGTGGGGGTGAAGAAGATGTCCCAGAACCAATAAGAGATGAGGGTAATAGAGTGTATACCACCTAGCAATAGCAATCAATCGGTTGAAGATTAATAAAGCAGCAGGAGCCGATGGGTTATCTGCCGAACTATTCAAGACTGGTGGTCAGATGCTGGTAAGCAGCATGCACCAGCAGAATAGTACAATTTGCCTAGAGGAATGCATACTCAATGATTGGAACCCCAGAAGAAGACAAGACGATATGTGCTAACTATAGCAAACTATAAGTCTCCTTCCCATCGCATGTAAAATGCTACCCGGTGTGCTGTGTGAACGACTGAAGGCAATGATCAATGGCATTATTGGACCATACCAATGCGGCTTCAGACCTGGCATATCCACCATTGACCAGATTTCCACTCTGCGCCAAATTCTGAAAAAGACCCACGAAAAACACATCGACACATTACATCTATCCGTTCAGAGATATTTAAAGCCATGTCTGCATTCGGGATTCTTGCAAAATTAATAGGGTTATGCAGGATAACATTAAGTGACCCAAGGTCAGTAATTAAAATCGAAAAGGCCCTATCGGAGCCCTTCAATACCAAACGGGGGTTCAGACAAAGTGACAGTTTGTTATGAGATCTTTTTAACATCCTGCTGGAAAAGGTCATACGAAACGCAAAGTTAAACAGAAATGGCACTCTGTATACCAAACAACACATGTTACTCGCCTACGCCGATGACATCGATATAATGGGTTGAACATTGCTAGCGGTAACAGCCACCTTTGAACAAATTAAGAAGGACTCTGCATAGTGGGTCTGGCAGTAAATGGCGAGAAGACCGAGCTGATAGTATCAACGCGGAAGACGTCCAGTAGACTCGGGCCAACTGTGGAACTTGAGAACTACAGCATTGAGGTAGTCAACGATTTTATAAACACTGGTACCGCCATAAATGAAACAAATGATATCAGTTTTGAAATTCGGAGAAGGATATTGTCGGCCAACAGATGGTATTATGGTCTAAGTAAGCAGTTTAGAAACAAATCCACCTGCCGCCAGACCACACTCACACGTTACAAGACGCTGATACTACCCGTGCTGTTATATGGATCTGAAGCACTAGTATTTGCGCAAGCAGATGAGGCAGCTCTTGGGGTATTTAAGAGAAAAATCCTCCGAAAGATCTACGAGCCGATATGCGTCAATCTATACGCGGAAATCGACATTGTGAGACGTATTGAGCTGCAGCGACTACGATGGCTAGGCCATGTTGTGCGAATGAATGAGAATGCCCCAGCTCAAAAGCCAAATAAAAGAGCTTACTTCCCGCAGAATGGGAAGTCCACGAATTAGATGGAAGACCAAGTAGAAGACAACATCTTGGAACGTGGCCTTCCAAATTCGAAGAGATGCGCACAAGATCGACGCGCTTGGAAATCTTTTTTAAGCTTGGCTTATGCAACAACGGCTCTGTAACATGCCAGCTAAGTAAAGTAAGTAAGTAGCACAAGGCGTAAATCGATATTCATCATTATCGAACTTGATGTAATATTGAAAATCATGTGCAAAGTTTGGATGAAATTGGTTTCTATCTTCGAGAGTTATTGTGCGCACCAGTCCGACAGACAGACAAAAGGAAAGACATTTGTAAATTTGACACAAAGTTGCCTAAAACATATTTGGTCCAAAGGTGTCTAAAACCAATACTTCGATACTCACATTTACAATTTGCTGGATTTAGTAAATCCAGTGTATTTAAATTGTCAATTCCATTGCTAAATGTCAAATAAATTCTCATACATGTCAAAGGGGATAATAATGAAACTGTTTTCATATTTCCGCATCTAGTCCATCCCAATTTCAGTTTTATTGTATGTACATTTATATGGAATTCGATTTAGTAAATCCAATTTATTTAAATTGTCAATTCCATTGCATAGATGTCAATAAATGTTAATCGAACTTAAACGAGATTTACTTTAGAACATTTTACCGGGTTAACCTACTTTATGAGGATTTATTTGTCTTAAAAGGCATATACATTAGAATTTCTTGCCGGGTTAACCTACCTTATGAGGATTTATTTGACATATATGCAAAGAAATTGACAATTGAAACCCACTGGGTTAACGAAATCCGTTTAAATGTAAACATACTGTAAACGATATATTTCCGAAAAAGTGACATAATAAGAAAATAATTAATTAGGTTATAATAAATAATAGTTAATTAGAATATAATAAATAATATTTAAATAGAATAGGAATATGGCAATACAAATTTTGCCATTCAGCCAAGAAAGTAACATGTGCGCACGTCAATATTTAAGTCTCTACCAATGAAGAAAAAACAAGAGCAATATTACCACACATTAAAACAGCTGTTTTGAGGGAAGACTGATCAAAACAAAATTCGGCAACAAACGACAAATGGGGCGAGCAAAACAAAGAGACACACAAAACGTAAACAAAAGTGTGCAAAGGAATTTCTTCCTTTCAAGGCAACAAAAACAGCAACAGGGGTAAGTCAACAGCAGCAACACACCACGGTATTTAAAAATAAAATTATTTCATCGAATAACACATAAAATAAAGATGTATTTTATTCATTAAATACTATTATCAATGTTTTTTTTCAGAATTTTAATATTTTTCTGTGTTTCATCACGAATAATGAAGTTTATTTACATTCACATTAGGGGTCATCACATATGGCAATAACGTTAGTTAACGTACTCACAATGAAAGGTGGCAACACTGATGCTACATAAAACATACATAATTTACTTAGCGTTTCCCTGATGAAGACAAACTGAGTTATAAAGGAGTGCTAACCCATAAAATTGCTTACCAAAAGGACACAATTCCCCTTTGGAATGGATGTGGAAAGTGAAAAAATCGATGCCATTGAGGCATGTCGAACGTGTGGTGTTTATTATATGACCACGACCAACTATTTGAGGCCACTTTTTCAATCGGCTGTAGATTGTCCCGAAATGATGCATATACGCTTGGAATTGGCTCAATGGAAAATAGAGGTAATTTATTGGGTGTATTTGTGTGGGGAAGTGTTAATAATTTCCTCTTGTTGCAGATAAATGAACATGACGGTTTGCCTCAATATATGTGCAATACATGTATACATGAATTCCTGAAAATATTTAAATTCCGTTCGGCCTGCTTGGAAACCCAAGACCAGTTGCGTATATTCTATAATATGCGTGAACAAAATTTGGCCAACATTAAAATAAAGACTGAAGTTGTAGAACCAGCAGATGAAGCACCCGAGTGTAATTTCATATATGTCGATGATATCAGCGATGATGAGTACAATGATAATATAACACCATTTAAAGTTCCTCATGTACCCATAAAAGAGGAACTAATCGAAGAAGCCAATGTACCATGTGAAAATATGAAAAAGCTGCATGTCAGTAAAGAATCCTCGTCGGAGAATGTTGAAACAGCTCCTGTGGTATATGAGCAAGCCTATGCATTAGAGTCAGCTCAAGAAACACGCGAGCCTTCTCCCTCGCCGGTCGAATGCGAACTGTGTCAACATCTATCGCCCAATCAAGATGAACATAAACAACACTTACAACGTGTCCATGAAGTTCGTGACATTGAATGCCATATTTGTGGTAAAGTTTTCAAAAATTCAACAACATCACGTTTTAAATTCCATCTCAAATGGCACAACCTTAACAAACATGTCAAATGTCCTCAGTGTGGTTTTGTGTGTAATTCTCGGGCGGCACTCAAGGAACATCGTAGAGCCGTTCATACGAAAATCAGTTGTAAAATATGTGGAAAGGGTGAGTGCTTCGATTATTTTATTTTTTGTCATTTATCATTTAATTGAATTATATAAAAAAAGGTTATCATTGTAACAGTGGGAAGTATTTAGTAGTGGAAATTACAAAACGTTCCCATTGGAGTGGATTTTTAAAGAACATATAAAGGCCCATAGGTGTGGATTTTTAAAAGAATTTTTGCCAACCATCTAAGGACCCATCTGCGTGGGTTCTTTTAATAAATATTTTCCAAACATCTAAAGACCCAGAGAGGTGGATTTTTTAAAGAATTTACCAGCCATATTAATATCTATAGGACTGGATTTTTAAAAGAAATTTTTACCAAACATCTAAAGACCCAAAGGAAGGGACCCATAGGCGTGGATTTTTAAAATAATTTTTAGTAATCATTTTAAGATCCAAAGGCGGGAATTTTTTAAAGAATTTTTATTAACCATTTGAAGATACAAAGGCTTGGATTTTTAAAAGAATTCTTAGTAACCGTGAAAAGGTCCAAAGACGTGGATTTTTAAAAGAATTTTTAGTAAACATTTGAAGATACAAAGGCTGGGATTTTTCAAGGAATTTTTAGTAACCATGAAAAGGTCCAAAGGCGTGAATTTTTCAAAGAATTTTTAGTAACCATGGATAGGTCCAAAGGCGTGGATTTTTCAAGGATTTTTTAGTAACCATTTAAAGATCCAAAGGTGTTGATTTTCCAAAGAATTTTTACCAACCAACTGCAATACAAGTTGTTGCGGGGTTGATGTGTATTTTTTTTATCCTTTTCCTATTCTTCATTTTTAATGGGATAAATCCTGTAATTTAATCATGCAGTTTTGAAGGTTTTTATGCTGCCCCTAAAGCAGAGAGTACATTAAAGTCCATTCTGTGCTTTAAGCGTAAATTTTCTGACTTCCAAATCCATCGAATTTTATATTTTCTTTTTTATTCCAAAATTAATTCTTCTCATCCCCAGGTGTCTTGGGCAAAAAAATGAAAAGTCATTTGCGACAACATGAAATCCTCAACAAAATTCGCTGTGAATACTGCAATGAATGTGAGTAACAATCTCCCTCCAAATAATACTCTTCTTTCTAATTAAAATTCCAAATTCTAGCCTTCCAAACAAATGACGAAAAGGAGACTCATATATGGCAAATTCATGCCCAGGAGGATACTAATGAAGCAGTCAATCAACAACCAACCTATGATACCGAACAGCATAATTATTCAAATATTCCCCAAGACAATGAAAATGACGAAGCGGACGACGACGACCTTGATGATGATGATGAAATAATACATGTTGAATTATTGTGTGCCCATTGCGATCAAAAATTCAGTGAACAAAGTGATCTTATCGAACATGTTAAGCTGGAACATAGTTCGAAATATAAACAACAACAACAATTTGTACCATTTATTAAACAAGAAAAAGACAATGACGATCAGGTGACCGAGCAGGAAGATGAAAATAAAATAACAAGATTTGAAGATTATGATGAAGATGATGATGGTGGGGGTTCACAAAATGACAGTTCACAATATGCTGATCAAAGCCACAGTGACAATGCAAGAGCAGAGGAAGAGGACGCACAAGGGGGAGAGCAAAATAATACACAATTTTCTAATTATCATGAAGAAGAAGAACACTCAGAGATTAATGATAATAACAGCTATGCTCAAACGGACACCACGATGGAAGAAGAATCTCAAAATAACATGGAATACAGTTCATCATTTAATGAATCGGATGCGGAAGCTTTTTCACAACAAACTAACAATAATGATGACGAACTTCTGTCATTTGCCTGTGCCAAGTGTCCACAAACCTTTGCCACAATTGAACAGTTACGAATGCACTATCAACAACATCAGCAGGAAAAGGAACAGCAAGACGACAACTCTCCATCTAAATCGAAATTCAGCTGTGATATATGTCACAAAGAATTTGGACTAAAATTCAGTTTAAATCGTCATATGCGAAAGCATGCAAAGCCAACTTCGTAGTAATTTTTAAAATACACTGTATTTTTTAATGAGGTGTATATAAGTTGTAGTATTATAAATATGTATTTGTTAGTAAATATACATAAGTTTTATATGGCAGTTTTCTCTTAAACAAAGTGGCTCCATAATTTTTCAGTTTACTTAACTACTGTACGTATTGCAAAAAATGAAAAGTATTTTCCAAATGTTAAAAACAAAACAAAGATAATAAATTAAATATATATTCCTAAAATTATAACAGTTGTAAATGTGTTTTGATTTCAGTGAATTTAAATCCATCCAAAGGCGTGGAATTTTTTAAAGATTCTGTAGAAACCATCTAAAGGCCCTTTGGCGTGGATTTTGTAAAAAAATTGCATCAAGTTAAATACCCAAAAGCGCCGATTTTTAAAAAATAATCAATGCGTGGGTTTTTTTTTAAGAATTTTTAGCAACCATTTAAACCCTTCAAAGGCGTAGATTTTTAAGAAGCATTTTTAGCAAACATTTAAAAAACCAAGACGTGGATTTTTTTAAGAATTTTTAGCAGCCATTTAAAGAACAAAAGGCGTGGATTTTCTATGAATTTTTAGCAATCATTCCAAGACCTAAAAGCGTGGATTTTTTAATGAATTTTTAGCAACCATTTCAAGACCTAAAGGCGTGGACTTCTTTAAAGAATTTTTAGCAACCATTCCAAGACCTAAAGGCGTGGACTTCTTTAAAGAATTTTTAGCAACCATTCCAAGACCTAAAGGCGTGGACTTCTTTAAAGAATTTTTAGCAACCATTCCAAGACCTAAAGTCGTGGATTTTTTTAGAATATTTAGCAACCATTCCAAGACCTAAAGTCGTGGATTTTTTTAGAATATTTAGCAACCATTCCAAGACCATTTTAAGAGCCATTTGACCTTTCAATGGCGTGTTTTTAAGAATTTTTACAATCACTTAAAGAACCAAAGGCTTGGTTATAAAAAAAAAGAAAAAAAAAATAGCAACCATTTTAAGACCCAAAGACATGAACTTGAAAAAAATTAGCAACAATTTTAAGGACCAAAAGGTACGGATTTTTAAAAAAATTTTAGTGACCATTTTAAGACCAAAGGTTTGGATTCCATTATCCCCCCCCGAAACACTCCAAATAAAAATTTCAGATTTAGTAGATTGTTTTCACACAAAATTAGTTCCTAAACTTAAGATTATATATTTGTTTAATTTCAATAAAAAAAATAAATTCAAAAACACTATTTCGGTAATTTCCCCATCATACGAAACTGTTGCATTTGTTGGGCCTGTAACATTTTCTGATTTTGTAAATGTTGTTGGGCACCACCCTGAGACATTTGAGGCATTTGTCCGGCCATTGCGCCACCACCGCCAGGCATATTCGGCATCATACGTTGCGGCTGTTGTTGTTGTTGCTGTGGACCACCCATACCCATTGCAGCAGCTGCTGCAGCCGCCGCCGCTGCTGCTGTCGATGCTCCTGATGGTCCAGCCAAACCAGCACCAGACTCTAAACCACCAGAACCCGGACCCACCGGACGATTTAATATGGCAGGATTTTGTTGTATATCGGATAAACAACTTTTCCATTCTTCCAAGCGGCTGTAGTGTTTATTCAGCAACGCCTCCTTTCGTTGTATTTCAATGCGTAGATATTGATTTTCATCCTTAATCAATTGATCCGGTTTCAGGGTGGACACAAGAAATCGTTTTTGCAAAAAGAACGCTTCCATTTGCCGGGCAACATCAATGAAACGATTTGTGGTTTTCTGCACTTCCAGTTCAACTTCTTCCTTGTTGGTACCAGTATTGGCCTCCAACTTTGTCAGCGACAGCAGACAATTTTGAAAAGCTTCTTCGAATTCATCCATTAGATTGCCGTTTACATTCGATGATGAAGCCATTTGGAGGTATCTTTCGTGTCCTAATAGCGGTTTCCTCAGCTTCCTAATTGCGAATAAATAAATTGTAAATTCACTAAAATGAATCTGTCGGAACCATTTTAAAATGACGAAGAAGGAGAATGAGTGCGAGAGTCTAAACACAACAAGAAGCTCTATAGTCAGCGACGGTCGTTTACCGGTCAAGCCGCTAGACGCTAACGGCTGACATTAGCGTCTAGCGGCTTGAAATCAGCTGTGTTACCAACATGGAAATTTATATCAAAACATATGGCAGTGCTGTTAAAAAAGGAAAATGTTTTAAAGATTATGGACATTTTTCAACGAATTAATAATAAAATGGAAGAAAAATTTATGAGAGAGTCTAGAGTCAGCGACGGCAACGGGAAATCCCGACGGCTGTCGTTCACGTCTAGCGGCTTGACGCTGTAATTAATTATGGTGGACCAGAATTAATTAGAGATAGAACACCGATTTTTAATATCTACAACTAGACTTTGGCATAACAAGCCACAAGAGAAAAAAATTTAATTAACCCTTTGTGGCCCAATGTTGCCCACAGGCAACAAAATGTTTTAGAGCTTATATTTAATATGCAGCTAGTAGATATATATTATTTGGATTTAATATGTCAAGACCTGATTATAGACGACACACATCAAAAGAAAAATCAAAAAAATTCAACATATTGGTAATGTTATGAGCTTTTAAATATAGAGAAGAGGGTAAATTTGTGTACAGTACTGATTTGTGTATACAGTCCAAATTATTTAAATCGCTTCGTATCCAAATTCTATTTGTTTCTTGAAAAAATGAATATAGAGAATAATTTAAAATGATTTTTCTATCGATTCTGCATTTGGTTTTCTTGATATTGGACTTTAATTTTTCCAAAAGAATGTACTGTATCTCCCGAATGCAAGGATGTATCGATGTCAATTTTTGTACATATCATATTTAGGATAATTGCTGTAAATCTGTGAACTAAAATTTGTTCTAAAATTGCGGAAAAAAATTCGGGGCTCAAAGGGTTAATAAGTAGCTATAGCCTACCTTGAATAATTGTATCATTCTTAAAAGTATCTAGATTTGCTTAATTTGGATTTTTGGCCATCAGCTTATTCCATAACCTGCAATAATCTTTTGTTAATCGATATTTCATCTGATTTCTTTTTTATACATTTTTAAAGTTTTACTAGTTTTTGAGTTTTGTTTAAAATACGTCCATGATAGTCCAACGGTCTCAATTCGTATTGAGCAAATATTGATAACAATATGCCGAATGTCTGCCCAGTAAGTGGTATAGGCCCGCAAACCATGCTATATATTTCCCCATCATTAAACGGTACAGACCGTTGGACTATCATGGACGTATTTTAACCAAAACTCAAAAACTAGTAAAACTATAAAAATGTATAAAAAAGAGGATTGGCCTTCTTTAGGAGGATTTATTTGACAAGTAAGTAAGGGAATTGACAATTAAAACCCCTGGTTTAACTAAATCCAGTACAATGTAAATGTACTACTGTTCATTGGCCTTGGAGGCTTTAGTATTATCTGATGAAATTAATAAATAAATAAAAAATAGGAAAAACCCCTACACATATAACTGCTACAACAACAATTCTCGGTATCACATTTGACCCAATTTTCTACTTTTCATTTAACGATTAATTTTCCTTATTTTTCAAATTCCATCACATTGCAAATGTGTAACCGCCAAAAAAACATGTCAGGGTAATTACATTACAACATGCCAACTCAACACATCCCACACACATCTGAGTACTTTGACATGTATTCTTGCGATTATTTTCATCAAACATTTGCAAAAGTTATTAATTTTTATAAACAATTTTCGCAAGTAAAATTGCCGCATCAACAACAATCAAAATATTGGCAACATTTTCTAGTGCCTATGTTTGCCGCCAGCCGTGAATTAAATGCAGTAGAAAACGAAAAATCTAAGACGGGTAAAAAAAACAAAGCACCAGAAAAGAAAAGTTGCTAATTCTACTACTCCCCGGCCCTATTAGATGTGAAAGAAAATTTAGTCTACATTTCTTCTTCATGTAAAAAAAAGAGTTGAATGTGCAGACGCGCTGCTGTCTACTTGAACAACACGAAGCAGGCCTGCAACATCATCATTATTTCGAAGAAGGAACGAATAAATAAATATAGGATAAGGAAGAAAACGCTACGTATATAATTGGAAGTCGAAGAAGAAAAAAAAACGACAGAAGAAGCTTTTATTTTCAAAAACAAGGTGAGAATGGATTTTGTTGTATATTTGGTGTTACCGGGGTTCAATAATGATGAATAGCGGTGTTGTTGATGTTTCTGTTAGGCATGTTTAGGTTTGCACTGTTCACTATAATATAATCTTGTAAGTCACTTTACACATACAGATTAACTGTCTTTATTTTTTAAGAGCACGGATAAGCTACTAAACTATTTTGAGATTTAAATTCATTAATAAAACATTGGGATTTATATAAAATAAAACTGTCTCTAAATAATTTAATACCTAATCCCACTACCAAATTAATCCATTTAGAAATACCTAACATTAGTAATTAACAAAAGCCAAAATTGATAAATTTTGTTCAGGAATGCTTGTTGCTAATTCATCTGTAAATACTCTATATTGAAAATACATTATATGGATGTTGCAATGATGTAGGGGCTCAGGTTAATTTAAATTCATAGTAAAAAGGTAACTCGTAAACTAAATTCTCATTAATGGGTTATGTCAAGTATAAGGTCCACTCATGAATTATTTGGACTGATTTAACACAATAATCCCATGGGTCACCGATTACAAGGACATTCTTATTCAATTCAATTTATTTTATAAACGAGAACCTAGCCCAAAGGGATTTAGATTGAATGAAACAAAATTACCTACCTATGATCACCTACCAAAAATTTTAGAAGTTTTTACCAGAGTTAGCTCTATTTTGCAGAGAGTACTTAATATATTGTTTAAAAATGGAGGGTATATTAATTTTGACATTCCATTTGTAATTCATCGAAATATTCATTTCCGAACCTATAAAGTATATATATTCTTGATCAGTGTAAAATTCTGTCCGTCTGTTGTAATCTTCTGAAGGAATTGAGATAGGATGCTGAAAATTTGCATAGGTTTGTCTTTTGTCTGCCGGCAGGTCAAGTTCGAAGATGGGATATATCGGTCCACGTTAAGGCATAGCTCCCATATAACGGTACCGCCCAATTTTCGGTATTTTGCTGTTCTTGAGCGCCTTTTTCAGCCGAATTCGCTGAAATTCGTTACAGTGGGTTCCTATTGGGTACTAAATGTCTCCACAAAAAAATTATGAATATAGGTCAACTCTTTCTGGTAGCTCCCATATATCGGAACGTCCTAATTTTCAGTATTTTGGGGGTTTTGATCGTATTTTTCCATTGGCTGTAAATTAGTATTTTGAGTTCTTAATAGGTACCACTTCTTTCTACAAAAAATTATGAATATAGGTCAATTTTGGTTCAAAGAAACATTGTGTGTAGAACCAATATTTCGATGAGGTACATTTTCACCGCATCAAAGTGTATACGGCCGAACTTAACGCTTTTGCACTTATTAAGATTTTAATCGGGAGATTTGCTCCCCACCAAAAATCATTATCATTAAACCAAGTTTCCATATGATGTACCACCGATATTAGAGTCCCGATCGATTTTAGGTGTTTTGAATGTCTACCTAATGGTGGAGGGTATAAAAAAATCAACATGACTGAACTTAACGACTTTTTTACTTGTTTTATATTCATAGCACGAGAAAAATATGATTATACAGATTTAAGGTTAGTTTATTTTAGATTATCGGGAGATTTGGTCTCTAGCAAAAAGTAGCTACATTAGCCCGTGTTTTTCCTATATAAAGTCATCCCCACTTTCTGTATTTTGAGCATAATCTTAACCGAATTGACTACAATTTTAGTTGTCTTGAATGTCTACCTCATGGTGGATGGAAAAATTGGTCTTGCCATACTTATCTCTGATACAACGAAATTGTGTCTCATCGAAGTATGGATTTGGATTCCAATGTATTTGGACAAAATCACTTTCAGACAATTCTGAGTAGATTTGATATCTGCCTGCATTGTTGGCTTTTGTTCTCGACAACTTTTGGACGGAGTAACCGATTTGATCAAAAACTTTGCTTTAATATTTTTTCAAAATAAAAAAGATATTTGTAGGTGGTAAATATCGTTTCAATTCCCCCTACTTTTAAAAATTAAAATAATTTGTGTTTCAAATCGGTACGAACCTTCAATATTGTGGCTATGTTAAAATATGAAACCCCTTTGAAAAAATTATTGTAAAGTAAATTATGACCAAATTATTCAGTAAATGGTCCAGTGCCATTATATGAACATTTTCTACCGGATACTACGCTAGCAGTTGTATTAAAATATCGACCGATCGTTGCGATAATGGCTCCGATGGCTACTTGCAAAATATGCAAAGGAATTCATAATTAATATATTATATTAGTACCATTTTCCGTAGGTCCTCAGAAGCATAAATTTATTTGGTCATTAATCAACTGCTTATGCAATTTTCAATTTATTCTCTCCAAAAAATATTCTACTAATTTTGTATATAATTCGCTTATATCCTCTATCCAAATAAAATACAACAAAAATAACTAACACAAATCTTTTTTGTTTTCTTGTTTTTCTTCCTCCCTCTTTTGCCATTGCAGTTGCTATCAACTTTCAACATTGACTGATTTTTTTGTTTTGTAATTTTTTAATTTATTATCAAATCTGGACATTTCCAAACGACAGTAATTTAAATGGGCAAAGGTAAAACGGATACAGAACCTATTTGTCCAAGTGAACAAAATGATGTCGGAGACAAATCTCTAAACGATAAAGAAAATTCTATTGAAAAGGAGAAAACGTCACAAGCTAATCCAGTCATAAAGGTGCGGAAGGATATAGCAAAAGACGACGAGGTATTGGAGGATGAGAATACAAATGATAGCCATACCAGCAGTACAAATTCAAATACCAATAAATCATCCACCTCCAGTACCTCAGCGAACAAAAAAGATAATAATAATAGCAGCAGCATCAGCACAAACGACGACAACAACATAAAGTCGTCGACGGAAGCAAAGGATTCCACAACGGCAACAGATTCTAAAGAAACACAATTTCGCATAGCCTCCAATAATACAACAGAATTTAAATTACGCATTGTACCTCTAGAAAAATTGCTTGAAAGGCCTCCAGCTCCGACTACAAATTCCTCAACGGCTAGCAAAAAACCATCGACAGAAAACGTTTCTTCAAACAAAACCAAAAGGGATAAGAGAAACGATTTAACCAAGGAAACAAGTAGACGTCTACCACAAAGAAGATCTAAACCCATATCATTTATAGAACTATCCGACACAGAAGAAGACGAAGAATTGATAATTTCCTCCGACGAGGAATCAAAGAAAAATAAAAAGGTAACAAAAACAGAGGCTTCAAGAAAGAAAACTACAAAAAATACCTCAGATTCTGAAGAAGAGGATAAAAAAGATTCGGAAAAAGAGGTCACGAATCGCACAAGAAAAACTAAATCGAATAAAAAATCCAAAAAATCATCATCCTCGGAATCTGAGAAAGAGAGCAAATCCTCAGAGGAGGAAGAAGTAGAAAAAAGAAGGGATTCAGAGGAGCGTTTAAAATCGAAAAAGGATTTGTCATCCAACGATAAATCGAAAGCAGAACACAGCGAAAAAGACGAAAAGTCATCCAAAGATAATTCAGAAGCGCAGGAAGACAACAAGGAATCGACAAATAAAGCCAAAAGAAAACGTTCACCAGAATCAGCGGCAGTTGTTGTCGAAGCCAAACGAAAAGCCTTAGAGAAAAAGAAATATTCTGATACCGAAGACGACGACGACGTAGAAGACAAACCTCTCAAAAAAACCGCCGCAACCAATAAGAAGACAACTAAAAAGGGAAAATCAAAACAAACCGCTCCTGCACCACCCCCATCTCCCTCTTCGGTTAGGCGTTGTGTGGTCCGCTTAAAACGCAGCAAGCTTTCCGATTTTAAAGATCTTAACAAAAGTAAATCGAAGCGTAAAATGAATGGTGGTGCATCTCGCTCCGAAAGACCCTCAACATCATCTGCCCGTCGAAGAAATATCATATCAGACGAAGATTCTGATGTTAGTTACAAACGATCTGGAAATATTGATGAACGTCTAGCCGATCACGATTACGATGGCCATGATTTAGACGAAGACGAGGAGGATAATGATAGCCAAAAAAGTAGTGATAGCGAAGTTATACCAACACGCAAGCGGCGTGTTTTCCAAAAGAACAAAAACGATGAGTCAAATGCCTCAGATTCGGACTTTGAGCCGAAGCCTAAAGATAAGAAGAAAAAACGGCGTATACAACGTAATTCAAGCGGTGATTCGGATGATGATGAAGATGGCAAAAAAAAGAATGTCAAACGTAAGGATATCCGTAAAATTATCAAGAGTGATGATTTAAATTTGAGCACAAAAGAAGCGGCCAAGGAGGAAGAAGAGCGTCGCAAACGTATCGAAGAGCGTCAAAAGCTTTATAACAAAATCTATGTGAAGCCTGAAAGTACTGAGGTCACAGAGCTTGTGCTGGATTTCGATACGGAGACGAAGAAGGCAATTCTTGAGGTAGATAAGGGGCTGGTGAAGAAGCTGAAACCACATCAAGTGACGGGAGTTAAATTCATGTGGGATGCCTGCTTTGAAACGGTGAAAGATGCTCAAGAGAAACCAGGTTCTGGGTGTATTTTGGCCCATTGCATGGGTCTGGGTAAAACTATGCAGATTTGTACCCTCTCACACACACTGCTGGCCAATTCGAACAAGACTAATGTTGAAAGGGTTTTGATTATTTCACCACTCAGTACCCTGAATAACTGGGCTAGGTAAGGTATTATTTGGATCTAAGATTTAAATATGAGTACTCCCTATGACATGATGAAATCTAACGATGTTCTTTTCCTCAATTCGCAGGGAATTTAAACAATGGATTGGTTTCACCAAAAAACGCAACATTGAAATATACGATATGTCAAAATATAAAGACAAAGCAACCCGGATTTTCAAACTAAATGAATGGTTTGAGGAGGGTGGCGTTTGTATCATGGGCTATGATATGTATCGTATATTATCGAATGAAAAGGCCAAAGGATTGCGTAAAAAACAGCGGGAACAATTACTGCAATCCCTGGTTGACCCCGGCCCCGATATGGTTGTTTGCGACGAGGGACATTTGTTGAAAAATGAAAAGACTTCGATCAGTAAGGCCGTGACACGTATGCGCACAAAGAGACGTATTGTTTTGACCGGTACACCTTTGCAAAATAATCTCAAAGAGTGTAAGTACCTTGATTATATTTCATTTATAGAACAAATTAAAATTTATTTCTCTTTTTTCGCTTCCAGATTATTGCATGATACAGTTCATCAAACCAAATCTTTTGGGTACATACAAGGAATATCTTAATCGTTTTGTAAATCCCATTACAAATGGACAATATACCGATTCAACAGATCGTGATATACGTCTAATGAAACATCGTTCCCATATCTTACACAAACTGTTGGAGGGTTGTATTCAACGACGTGATTATTCGGTGCTGGCGCCGTATTTGCCACCAAAACATGAATACGTGGTCTATACCACACTCTCAGATCTACAACAATTGCTGTACGAACATTATATGGTACATCAGCGTGATCTAAGCTCAAATGTCGAGGGGAAAGGCGCTAAGCTGTTTCAAGACTTTCAAGAGTTACGTCGCATATGGACACATCCGATGAATATGCGCATCAACAGTGATTCGGTGATACGTAAACGAGTGTTGGCCGATGAAAATGAGTCTATTGAAGATTTTATATGTGACGATGATAACGAAGAGGAAGCAGCTTCTTCGTCGGATAGTTCAGATGAAAATTCGATTAAATCATTTGGTAGTGGTGGTGCTCCAGCAGCAGGGGCGGCATCGGGAAAAGTTCCCAAAACTCGTAATAATCGTCGTCTTGCCAAAGAAGCCGGTGAGGATGTTGATAGTGATATTGAAGAGGTGCCACCGCCACCCCAAGATGATCCATCGGAATGGTGGAAACGTTTTGTTGCCGACAAAGAACTAAATAATATAAATCATTCCCCTAAATTGGTAATACTGATGCGTCTATTGGAACAGTGTGAAGCTATTGGTGATAAACTATTGGTATTTTCACAATCTCTACAAAGTTTGGATACCATCGAACATTTTTTTTCATTGATCGATAGTAAAACAAGAGGTTATGAATATGAGGGTGAGTTTTTACATATTTGTTTTTAGTCGAACAAGAATA